TTAAACTCATATGCTTGGGGAACAAAGTAGTATGCTTTCAAGTTCAAAGCTTATAAAGGAAATGACCATAACAGATAGGCACTTATTAGTTTAGCCACTGGCCAATTTAAGGTCCTTATTCATTAGTTAGGCCTCTGGCTGTGTTGCAGAGGCTTGGGGCCAAATAGTATATACCTGGCACTTTCATCCTGAATACCAAAAAAATAATAACTAAAATAGCAACATTTCAAGTAGGCCTCATTTGCAAATAAATTGCAGTTGTTGTTCTTAGGACTTCTGGCAGCAGGTCCTGTTCGAATGAATCACAACAATACTTCACTTATGCTTTCATGTTGGAATACTTTTGAAAATGTATTTATTTTCTTTCTTTTATCTTCCACCTTTCTTCCATCAGCTCAACAAAGTTATGAAAAGGGTTGAGATAGAATTCTGTGCTTACAATTTGGGAATAATAGCTAACTAAAGTAGTTGAAGTCATTCAGAAGAGAGTTGGGACAAATGGTATAGCATGCATTTATAAAGTTCTCAGTATATTGCAAAACACTAGCCATTAAAGTAGTATAAAGAGGCATTCATATCCAGATTGAAAACATAGTGTAAACAAACTCAGCTCTTAATAGTCATTCATGATTTTGGGCCAGTCACTGTCTCTCAGCCTAACCAACCCTCAGGGTTTTTGCGAGCATAAAATCAGAAAGGGGAGGACCATAGACACCAGCTTGAACTTCTTGTAGAGATTGTGGGATATAACTGTAACCAATAAATATTTTCAAAACATTTAATTTTGATAAGCTGCTTTTTAGGGCTAGGACCTAACAAAGAACATGACTGCTCCCAAACAACCCTGGGAACTGCAGTTTGTTAAGATTTCTTAAAATTGTAGCTCTGTGGGGCAAACTACACTTCCCGGGACTATTTGCAGGAAGCCAGGTGCTTTCACTGCTTGGTGTACGCACAAGCTTTTCTGCTAGGCTTTTGATTTATTTTAATTACTACCTGCTCTATTTTGTGCACTTGGTGTTTAAATGTTCTCTTTTGTCATCCTTTGGTATTTTAAAGTTCTGAAACGCCTGGGGCAGGAAGTTAAAGGCAGAAAAACAATACATAAACCAACAGAAGTGAAATGGATAGCACAGTGCTACCTAAGTACGGTGGGAGCACATTTTGAAAGGTCAGTTCTTCTGACTTTGCTTGGCTTGGTGTATAGCTGTTGTGGTTTTAAAACACACACACACCCATACCCTGCTCATCCCAATGCATTAAAGAAGCCTCGCTGCACCATTCAGAGACCAATAATTCTCTTCAGGGTGCCTCCTGAAGCCGCCCAGAGTGGCTGGGGAGACTCAGCCAGATGGGCAGGGTATAAATAATAAATTATTATTATTATTATTATTATTATTATTATTATTATTATTATTATTATATCACTTCTTCACCCTGCTGTCTGGCGGGGCCAGACCCTGACAAAAGCCATGTGCTGAGGCAGTTATGAATGCAGAATACTTTAACCTGAGGAGGCTGACAAAGAGGATCTTTGATAAGCTGCACATGTTGACTCAATGCTGCATTGTCATGTATAGAGGGGATTGTGAGAATGGGCATTGCTCTTGACACCAAATAGTATTCAGTGTTGCAGTATAGCTCACCTTCTTCTTTCCCCTTTTTCAGCAGTGTGTGTTCCTACTAACTAGGCCCTGGATTTATCATCAGGGGATTGTATGGTGCTTTCACACAGCAACTAATCCAGTCCTGACCACTATGGCCTATGTTCTCTGTGGCAAGCACTCGTAACATAAAGTGGATGAGTTTACCATAGGCCAACAACAAACCCACTATAGTAAAAACATTTCCCCCACCCTTTTTGTGGCTGGCCTATGTTCTTGTTTAGTAGTAAATGACTGAAAAGGTTTCCATCTGCTTCTAACAAGGCATAATTTAGCGACAACAGAAGAGACTACTGGGAGGTAATTTTGCCTCCTTCCTGTTTCAGGAAACCTTTTTAAACTTGATATGCTCAAACCTAATAAGATAAGCAAATGAAAAGGCAACTAGACAGGGTAGCCAGATTACAAGGTGCACTCTGAAAGCACTAAACAGTATCTGTTTTGATCCTTTAAGTAGCAGTTTACATCTCCTTAAAAGAGATTTGACTCAGATGCTAATTACAGCCGGATGCATTGTTTTCCCTTCCCTACACCTGCTTTTGACTTTTAAAGTTGGGGAGCGACAGTACAGGTTTATACATGCTTCTGATGATACAGAATCCTTTTGTTTAGTGCAGCACTGTTACCAAACATGGCCTCCTGCAAATTTGCAGGAGCGTGTCTAATCGAGACACACCATGGTTTTGCAGTTGCTTAAACCCCTATGAAGGACTTGGGGGATAGGCCATAGCTGAGTGCTGAAGCACCGGTATGTGTTTTTCACCCCATGTTCAGTCTCTTGTTATAAGGTTTTTTTAGGTAGCAAGACTGAGAGAGATTCTAGAGAGCCACTGTACCATCAGGGTAGACCAAGGGTGGAAATGCTTTTTTGCTTGCGGGCCATCACATGTAGTATAGAAATTATATGGCAGGTGGACTAATCCCTTGCACTGGAACGACACACTTGTTGGCTGGCTGTTAAAGCATCCAACCTGGATGACAGCCCTAGCAGCCCAAGATGCAAGTAGCTGGTTATACTACACTCTGCATTGGAGCCACTTGATACTACAGTGGAACCTTGGTTCTCAAATGTAATCTGTTCCGGAAGTCCGCTCGACTTCCAAAACGTTCAAAAACCAAGGCCCAGCTTCCAATTGGTGCAGGCGCCCTGGAAACAATAGCCAACAACCACAGCAGACATTTGGGTTCCAAAAAATGTTCGAAAACCAGAATATTTATTTCTGGGTTTTCGGCGTTCAGAAGCCCAAATGTTCGAGTACCAAGGCATTTGTTCGAGAACCAAGGTTCCACTGTGAAACTTGTGCTTCTGTTGCTAAGACAGTAGAGACACAATTGTCCCCAAAGCAAGACCAATATTTCACACGGCTACTGAAACCCACACTGTGCCTTGCATAGCTTGTAGCTCCTGCTTTATAGGAAGAGGACTGAATGGAGGCTGAGGAAGAGATATAGCGTGACTGTGCAATCCTCTTGCTTGCCTATGTAGAAACCACCGACTCCTGTTTGGCTGCTGGAATGTAGTGGGTAAGAGTTCCACCCCTTGCTCTGTCCACCACTGACATATGGCTCCGGAAGATTACAGTGGCACCTCGGGTTACAGACGCTTCAGGTTACAGACTCTTCTAACCCAGAAATAGTACCTTGGGTTAAGAACTTTGCTTCAGGATGAGAACAGAAATGCAGCAGCGGCAGCAGGAGGCCACATTAGCTAAAGTGGTGCCTCAGGTTAAGAACAGTTTCAGGTTAAGAACGGACCTCCAGATCTTAACCTGAGGTACCACTGTACATTTGAGTGAATGTGGCTCTCAGACTAGAAAAGTTTCTCCTTCTCTGCTTTGTAACCATACACCTATTAGCATACATCCCTTGGGAGGAACTTACAGAGGACTGCTGAGTAATAAATAATAATTGTATCTCATTGGGATTCCTCTACATGTTTTGTGAGCACAATTAGTATTCATTTGTAACCTAATACTGCCAGAAGTTTTGATTTTCCATGTTTTATTCATTTTATTTTATTTATGGCATTTATAGCCCACCTTTTTCTCAGAGGAGCTGGAGTACATGGTTCTCCCCCTCTTCATTTAACCCCCCCCCCACAACAACCCTGTTAGGTAGGTTAGGCAGTGACTGGCCCAAGGTCAGCCAGTGAACTTGATAGCTGAGTTGGGACTTTAGTGGGGTCTCTCAGGTCCTAGTCTGATGCTCTTAACCATTGCTCACACCACATGGCTTTAGAAAATATGGAAGGCTTTTAAAATTGGCATCCTGTTAAAATGGATAACAGTTTTCCTCTGAGCTGGTAAGAGTATCTGGCATCTTAAAGCAATGCTTGAACAGTAAAATCCCAACCCAGTAAATAGTCATAATTGGTCAGGTATTAGTGCTTTATAAACAGTGAATGTCTGATCAGCAGCTGATTTAAATTTTAACGTGGAATGGCTGGAAACTGAAATGCAGGATCACTCAGAACAGTTCTCCAATACATTCCCACAGGATGAAAAGCCTCTTAAAGTGAAAAACAAACTTTTAGCCTGGAGTTCCTAACCTAAATTCACTTGTGTTGCAACTCTGTAGGAGGTAGGGAATGAATTTAATCCATTGATTGTACTGAGAGAATAGAAAACCGTGCTTGGTTTTCCTACCACAATTATAGAGGCCAAGAATAGTGCTGAGGGGTGGTTTAAAGAAGCTGCCCAGGCAGGTTTTGCAAAAGCTTTGTGAAAGAAAGGAAATAGTCAACTGTAGTTAGATAATATAGCTATTATTTTCATTATTCATTCTTGAGTATCAATTTTTAGTGGTAGTACAAGATGTTCAAAGTGTTGGAACAAGGGTAGATATTCTGTGTAGGCTGCAAATTCAGATGTCTGAAAATGCAGTTTTCTTTACTGAAGAGTCTTCAAGTGCTGATGTGCCTCATTCCCAAGTTATTCTATCACAACATTACTTTAATCTCAGTTAAGCTTGTTCTATGCAAGCATTAGTTTATTTACCTGAAGAATAAGTGTGTGTGTGTGTGTGTGTGTGTGTGTGTGTGTGTAGAGCTAATTTTTCACATGTTTTTGTTTCTATGTGTGCAACCTAAATGCATTAAATAGCTATCACAGTTGTATGGATTTCATACTTTTACTTGGTTTCTTCCTGACTTCTGATCTGGACAGGTACTCCTAACAAAAGATCACTTGAAGCACAATGCTTTCCAATGGAGTTAACGTTCAGCTAAAGTCATCAGAGATAGAAGAGCCAAATGAATTCATGTGTGAGCTGAGTCCAAGTTATCTTCAAATTCAAAGTAATTAGTGTACAACAAACTTTTCTTTTGTTTCTCTGTAGGCTTTATCGCCAATTGGAAAGAATCCCGGGTTACTTAATATCACCTTTAAGTATGACAGTAAGTTCTCCTTCCTGTTTCCTCTGGAAACATGTTTACTCATTTCATTTGTTAATGTATTAAATGAGTTTTTAACACCATGTATTGAAGTAATCTATTTTTTAAAAAAAATCAACAGTGATAATAGAGAATTGTTGAATTAGCACATTTTACTTAGTTAATCTAATTATTTAGAGCAGAGTGGCTAATCTCCCAGACGTTGTTGAGCATCAGCCTTAGCCAGCTTTGTCAATGATCTCATCATGGGAGTTATATTCCTGCAACATTTGGAGGGCCAGAGGTTAATGCACCCAATGTAGGCCTGTTACAGGTAACAACATAAAAAACTGTGTATGCATAATATCAAAGCAGTGTACAAACACAATTTGTAACAACAAAGACGATTAAAATGATAAATCAATAAAAAGCAACCTCACCAGAACAAATAAACAGAACAGTAAAATTCAGAGAGCTCTGGTAACTGAGGGATGCCTGTTTGAATAAGAATTGTCTTAAGTTGCTCATCTAGAATGGAAAGAAGCCTGCTGGATCTCACTAGGGATGGTGCTCTAACTGCAGCAGCACACTTGTTCACAGAGAAGAGAATTAAAGGGCTTTAAGCTACTTACATGCTATGGCATGCTTATGCAAATCAGGCAGATGATACTGGTTTTTACTGGATCTTTGGTTGGGCCTTGGAAGAAAGGAAGTCCAAGGGAGCCATTCTTGCATACTCTCACTACTGTAGTTGCTGCATACAGGCTATTTCATAACGACTACAGCCTTCATCACCATGAGGAAATAACAGAGACTAGAGAGCCAGGCTACGATCCACCCACGTTTAACCCCATAAAAGTGAATAATTTACAATGTTAATTCTTGCTGAATTGTCTTTCCTTGTTAACATTGGACCCTATCTCATAGTACATAAAATTTTGTCATTAATGGTTTATTTCTAATATGGACCATGGATACCTTTTTCCTAGTCAGTATTCTTAAAAGCTATTTTCTGTCAAGTACAAAAGATTTATTTACCCGAAATCTGTTCTTTGTTCTTCTGAAAAGAAATCAAAAGTAATGGAATAAGATTGTCATTTTTGAGCATAAAGCCTTAGCAACAGGAATCCAAAAATGGAAAGCTAGCTATTAATTTGATCCAGATGTTGCAGGAAGCTCTTGCTCAAAACTTCCTATTAAAAGACAGGTTTCTATTTTTGCTAATAGGAAGCTCTTGCTGCCCTTCATTTGAATTGTGCAGCAGAATAGGAGCTTTCACTAATTTATAGTTATATCATGGTGGTGATCTCAGAGCAGTCATCTAGAGAACAGAATTATGAGGCTTGATAGATAGCAGGAACATCTTCTGCAGAGCTCTTTTTTAAAAAAGTATATTGGCTAAGCTCGTGAATGTGTCTTTGCGTAAGGCCTGGATTAAATGTATTTCACCCAATTGTTCTTTCTTTAGACTGTACTCCTTATTTGAGCTCACTGGGAAAGCATGTAATTGGTGATGTACAGAACATCACTATTAGCCAGTATGCATGCTCTGATCAAGTTGCCGTGACAATACTGTGGACAGCAAATCCCATTGGTAAGTAGAATAAAAAAGGAATTGTGCTCATGTGCCCTTTGTAGTAGCAATTAGTCGATGACTTCTGTTCATGGACACTCCCAAGTAGAATTGCTATTGTCACCATCCGGGTCTTCTCAAATCTCCTGAAATTAATCCCCCTAAAATTTGGGCTAGAAACTTGAGAAAATTTGTTAGGAAAAGAGCTGCAGGCTGTCCAAATAAGCTAAACTAAGCACTCTAGCGTGAAGGACACTTATTTGCAATGTTTCAAATGGTACTCTCGCCATTTTTTTAAAAAATGGCAAGTTCTGTACAATTGCTAAATCTTTTAAGAAGTCCTTTGAAAATCAGTTTCAGCCTAGATTAGGTTTGAATGATTGGGAGCATGTTTAACCCTCTCCCATTAAAATCACTGGTTCTTAAAGGTGCACAATTTGATTCATCCCCCTCTAGGTTAGATTGTTTGTGCCTCTCCTGCTTTCCATTTACAATTGTGATTTGAGACATGCTTAATTGGAAATAGATTTTAGTGAATTCTTGTACCTTCCAAGAATAAAGTAAGGAAAGTATAAACAGCATTTATAAACAAAATTCAATGCAGGGATACACCTTACAGAACAATTGTGTCTTTCAGTGTGTGTTTAAATCTGTTAGCCTTTCAAAAGGGCTGAGGTCATGAACTGATTATAGAAATGTACTTTGCTGAAGAATTAGTAAATATATTTTGTGGAAATAGAAAAATGTCTAAAGCTTGATAACATGCAGCTTACTGCTGATGAATTTTGAATTGAAAACAATGAGCAGATAGAGAGAAGGAATGTGAAAGTGATACTCAATGCTTCGAAGAGTGCAGAGTTACTGAATTGGTAATCTGCAGCTGCAGGTTTGGCTGCATCCAATCTCCACGGGATACAAAGCTTGGTGCTTTCTCTTGTAATGATCAGAGGTTAATCCTTCTGAAAGCATCAAGAGAGAACTGTAGTTGAAGGATCTCAGGTAACAGGGAGCCCGTTAACTCTTCTCTTTCATGGTCTATATGTTAGCACAAACACTGCTTTTGTTCCTCTAAATATTAAGAACACAGTGGGTGGCTCATTTGTATTTCCCATTGCAAGATCATTTAAAGCCCTGAAATAAGATATTTGTGTGTGTGTGTGTGTGTGTGTGTGTGTGTGTGTGTAGTTTCGAAACCTGCATTCAAACGCAACAAATATCCAGAGTTGAACTATGGTAATCCAGTTTTGGTTTACGTACTTTTGGACTATGGGAGCGTCCCCCAGTCTTTATAAACACACACAGTTATCAAGCGCTGTGCTTAGATTCTTTTTTCACCTCAGCCTCTTACTCAGAATCTGTTTTGTTCATGAATGGTGTAAGCACTGTAGATTGCAAACTTAGCCTTTCTTCTGAAGTGTGTGTGATTTACAAGATTCTTTGTAGGCCAGTTATGCAAAGCACCTTGTCTTAAAAACAAAAAGAAAAAACCCACCCTTTGTTTCTGAGCCTTGTAACCATTTTTAACATGATCCTCATCCAAACCAAATTTCACCTGACGTTTTCAGAACTGTAGCCACTTTGAACACTTCTGAAATTCAGTAGGTATTTTGGACTTTCTTCCTATCTCCAAGCTTGGGGCCTGGGGCTCTTTCAAGTTGAATTGTACTTTGGAGGCACTGTTTGCTGTTCATGAGAGGTGCTCTCAAGTGCTCCTCAGCACATGCTCAGGGACACAGGCCTGGCATCCAAATGCCTTGGCTGCGTGCCAAGGTCAGACAACTTTTGTGGCTGCCTGCCTCTGAGCAGGATGTAAGCGCAGCTTGTGCTCATCATCTAGCAAATTTTTAAAAGCAAGATAGAGAGCCTACATGTGCTATTATGTGCTACACATGCTACATTAAAAAAGAAAAATGTGGTTATTTGCAGGTTGGCACCAGGCATTTTAATATCACAGAGCCTCTTCCAGCATTAGCTCAACGCTGTGGGAACCACTGTAGTGTGGCTTTTTCATATGATGCACCATTAATAGTACAAAGTTTTTTTGGAGGGGAAGGTTACATGGAAGGAACCAGCTGATGAATAATATATCCATCATATATAAAACACACATACACATCCAGCCTTTAAATATGTATTTGATTTTTTCTTTAAATGTATGCAGGTATTGAATTTCTGAAGGGTTTTCGAGTAATACTTGAAGAGTTAAAATCAGAGGGAAGACAATGTCAACAGTTGGTCTTAAAAGACCCAAAGCAGCTGAATTCAAGTTATAAATGGACTGTAAGTAGTGTATTTTAAGGAAATAGTATTTTTTTAGAAAGTGTTGAATAATTTGGGTAAAAAATCCAGAACTATTATTTTATGAGAAGCCTATTTGAGGTTAGTGGAGCTTCTGGTACACGTGACCTTGATTATTAGAACACATTTCCCCTGTTTTTATCAGAGCACAGCATACTACTCTTCTTTGAAAATTCCCCTGCTTACCTCTTTGCAGCAAGGAAATAGTTCTATGAAGTGCCAGAAGGAAAGTGTATGACTACTTTGCGGGGGGAGGGGTTGCTTCTGATCAGAATATTATGGGACAAGCCAAGAGACTTCTAGCTTGTGTTTATACCAAGAACCAGCACTTTATGAGAGAGAGAGAGAGAGAGAGAGAGGCTTTTACAAACTCCTGACTCCCACCAGCCCTAGTTTCTGCAAAATCATGAACCTGCCTGTGCCCTCCTTAAGAGAGTTGTTAATTAAGTCATTCAAAAAAGTAAGGGGTCTAGTCCCCTTTTGGTTCCCATGTGCTTCAAGCACTGGCAAAGAAAAAAGATGGCAAATAAACATACTTGCACTCAAGTTGACCATGCAGCAAGCTTTAAAATACGTTACTAACTGGCTTTAATTTCTGTCTTCTCTTTCTCCCCCCCCCTCCCCCAACCATTTGCAGGGAGTGGAGTCTCAGTCTTTTCTCAATCTGAAATTTGAAACTGACTACTTTGTGAAGGTTGTCCCTTTCCCATCCATTAAGAACGAAAGCAACTACCACCCATTTTTCTTCAGAACTCGGCGTAAGTGCATTGGCAATTGCGGCTTTCTGCTTTTAAAGGTACCTGTGTCTTGCGTCTTAAGGAAAGCAGGTAGCAACTTGAAACGCCAAAGTTTCCACTTCCAGCTAAAATCTACTTCACATAAGAAATGTGTTAAGAAATGTTTTGATACATTAATAATAAGTTCATTTAATGGCATTCAGATTGCTCTGGCCCTCCCCCCATCTCCCCATGATTGGTTTTAGGAAGGTAAAATAGACTGGTTGTGCCTCTGCTTGTCACCTATCAGGATAAGATTCAAATGACAATTGCAGCCATCCTATGAGTAACCTGATTGTCTGAATCCATTTTTTCAAAGCTTCATGCTATAATTGCTTGATGCTACAATTAAGCAATTGTTAAGAGACCCTGGGGTTCTCTTTTTCCTCTTCTTCACTTAGTGAGGGTCACATGACTTGCTGGTGTAAAGGAGGACCTGCTTTTTATATGATGCCCAGCAAATTTATGGGAAACTGCTATATTTGTGTAAGCTATTTGTTGGAATCCTTGACCTGCCTTATTCCAAGGACTCTAGGCAGGTAACAGATAAATGATTCTTTGACATTCTGAAGCCTGTGATATAATATATGATATAACCCAACCTGGACTCATCAAGGATGAAAGGAAGGGTGTATACTTGTTTGTAAAACCTGAGTTTTAAAGAATCCATTATTGTTTTTTCCCCTTGCTAGCCTGTGAACTGCTACTGCAGCCAGAAAACTTAGCCTGCAAACCTTGTAAGTGGAAATATTTGCTCAGCATTCCTTAAATGAAGATTGTATAATTAATGGTTTTTCCTAAAATAGTAATTAATGTTTAAATATCTCTTCCTTGATAGTCTGGAAGCCAAGGAATCTGAACGTTACCCAGCAAGGCTTTAATATGCACGTGTCTTTTGACCATGCACCGCATAATTTTGGATTCAGATATTATTATCTGCACTACAAACTTAAAAACGAAGGACACTTCAAACAGAAGACTTGCAAACAGGTTGGCTGAGCATGATTTATAACATGGTTCACAATGCTCTGTACATGAAACTGTTAAGCATAAAATTCCTGTAGGGACAAGTTTTTGAAAGAGATTCTTTGGACAGTTTCCTTTTTGAGCAGAACAAATAAAAATCTTCCGTACTGGTTGATAGGGATAAATATGTCACATGGTTTCTATATTTGTTCTAGCATTCCAACAGACCAGACAAAATTTTACTGCATGAAACAGGTTCCAATGTGCTGGGGCTCATCTATGTTAAAATGTATCGCACAAGTTGATTGGTTGTAGTTTAGTGGTGCCCAATGCTTTTTAGCAAATAAATTTGACTAACTGATAGTTAAGTGTTAACAGCTCTGTGCTGGCGGACCTAATTTCCAGCAGATTTAGGGCACAGTTCCTAACACAGTCGTACCTTGGAAGTCGAACAGAATCCATTCCGGAAGTCCATTCGACTTCCAAAACGTTCGGAAACCAAAGTGAATGGCTACAGGAAGCTCCTGCAGCCAATCGGAGGCCATGGAAGCCTTGTCAGATGTTCGGCTTCCAAAAATAGTTCACAGACTGGAACAGTCACTTCTGGGTTTGCAGTGTTTGGGAGCCAAAACGTTTGAGAACTAAGCTGTTTGAAAACCAAGGTATGACTGTATAGGAGTTAACATTGGCTGAAGAGCAGTAGGATTCAGCAGAAGCTCCACTATGCTGATGAAATGAAAAACATGCTGCATCTCAACAGGCACACAGAATCTATGCACCCAGCACACTGGTGGAGTGGATGAACGAGGGCAGAGTTATGGGCACCCATTTCAATGGCAAAACAGCTTGCCAGTCCTAGATCTGGTGCCATACTTCTCTCTAAATGGACTGGCCTGTGTGGATTGGCTCCCTCCGTTTGTTGACATCATTTGGCAGCAGCAGCAGCATGGCCTCTGATTAGGGAAGAGTGGTAGAATTTCCAGGAACTGTGTTCATGCATCAGTCATTTTGCCCCTCTGTTTTCCAAATTGCATGTTCCCTCCCAGATTGTGATCTGGATATAGCAGACTTGCTGCCAGTGTATCTTTGATTGTGATGTAATATGAGTGCGGGGTTGCTGTCCTCATCAGTGTACTTAAAGTGAACTTTCTGGGATAAGGTTCACTGATTATACAGCTGAGTGGAGAATATGCTACGTTGTTCACAGGAATTTCTAAGTAGGAAAACCCATCGGGAACACTCCCACCAAAGTTGAAACATTTTTGAATGCAATGGTTTTTTCAATAGGATAGATTTCACTGGGTGCCTGACTTCTCCATTGAAATCAATAGGATTTGAAAGTGCTCAATATTGCCTGGATCATGCCCACTGTGCAAAACTTGGATTTCTTTCAATCATTCTGTGCCACAACAGCGGGATCTTAGCAGTTATTTCTATTTACATTGGATTGATCCACATAGAACAGGATAATGCAGTATTTAGAGTTCAGTACTGCACCATGCAAAGTACTTGATAGCACAGACATACACCACAGTGTTTCGATCCTATATCCATATACATGCATGCTATTTTTTTTGAGAGTGAAAGTTGGGTTTAAATTTTACAAGTGCTCTTGCATTTTGGGGGTGGGGGTAGGGAGTTTTGTTTTGGGGTTTTTTGCAACCTGGGAACAGTAATCAATGTATCTGGGCTAAGGGTCGTTTAAAGTTGTACATCTTTCTATTGAATGCTAATGTAAGGTTTTCACCAAAGGCCACAAGAACTGCAATTCTAATTTCCTTGGGTTAAATACTGATTGCTTTCAATCATATGTATTTGTCTTTGGAATCTGCTCCCTTGGGCAGTCTGATACACTTGGCTCTGAACCAGCTGAGCCAGTCTGTGAGTGCAGCAGAGTTCTCACTTGACTCTGGGAAGGAACACAGCCCTGTGTTCACTATTGGATTTTAGGTCATGGGCTCTGAAGTCTTAATGTGAGACATTAAGTGGTTGGGGAAACCCAGCCAGATGGGTGGGGTAAAAATAATAAATATTCATTCATTCATTCATTCATTCATTCATTCATTCGATCAATGACTCCAAAGTCTTTGGGCTTAATAACATTGTTCTGTGTTTGCCTTTATTTGTACTGGGTGAATTTCAGATGCAGTATGAATTTCCAAATTGACTACTTTTTAATGGGAGTGCACCTTCTGCTTAGCATTCAAATGCATACAAATGACTTACAAGAAAACAATTTATTTCATTTCTCCGTAGGAAAAAAATACAGATGTCACAAGCTGTATTCTTCAGAATGTCTCACCAGGAGATTATATAATAGAGGTAATGCAATTATTTGTAGTCTGAGAAGTTGGGGCTCACAGAAATTGTTCTTCAAAATTAAAGGTGTCAGCATTTTGCATCTACTTTGAAGCTGGGAATGTACTTAGACAATGCTATATCATTACATTACTGCCATGGTGAAAAGGTTGCTTATATGCAAATAAAAAATAGGGGTGGTAGCTTGAAATCAAGCTATCTTTGTAACTCTTGATCCAAAGAAGAGTTTTAAACCTTGATTCTTATCTTATTAACACTAGCGTTATTTGCGGGTTGGAGAGACTCTTCAACATGTTGACGTTTTTAATTTTTTTCAAACATGTCTAATTAATTTCATAGCTCTAATTTGTGTTGTTGTTGTTGTTGTTTTTAAAAAAGCCAGACTGGTTCATTCATGTTTTCAGCGTGTGGTTGCTCTTTGTTTACTGGATGCTTCACAGTTGATTCTGTGAAATCAATTCTATTAAAAAGGATTGTGTTTGAGGCAATACTAAGCTTCTGTATTTGATGCTAAAGGACTCAGTCACACAGGCAAATCATCACTTTTATTCATCAAATGAATAAAAAGTGTACACAATTCTTATTTTACCAGTAACACCACTTTTTTCTTGACTCATGGGTACTTAGTAGTGATTTGTCATATCTCTAAAAATAGATATTGTTATAAAGCATTTAAAATTTCTTTCTCCTCCCTTTTTTAAAAAGCTGGTTGACGATACCAATACAACAAGGAAAACAATGCATTATGCATTAAAACCAGGTATGATATATTTCTACTTGAAAGAGATGTTAATTTGCCATTTCCATCTGAAGAATAATTCTTAATCTCCAGTTAACTCCCAGTTAAGGTTAAAAGTTATGGGCCAGCTCTACACTGACCCTTTGCTCTGAAAGTTCTTGCAGCTGTGGTCTTTCTCCATAGATCACTTGAAAATTGCTGAGGTGGACCACTTAATGATTATTCCGCCTGTTGCAGCAGTTGTAATGTGCTGTGCTTAAATGCTATATGATGTCTAATTTTATTGTAATTGCTTCTTTTATTTCTTATGTTGTATTTTTGCTGCTTCCTTTATTTCTTATATTGTATTTACAGTTTGAATTCCATAGAATTCAGATTGTGTTTTTCACAGACATGCCGCAGACCACCTGAATGAAGCTTGTGGTGGTCTGCAGATCACAGTTTGGGAACCCCTGCATTACATCAAAAGAAGAGGGCAGAGGCCCTTCCTCTCTCGTCAGTGCTGTACCCTGTGTAATGGGTTATCCACACAATGTTAAATAGTGTGAAGCATGTTTGAGGTTGGGTTGTTCTACAAGGCGGAGTTTGTACAGCAAGGACAGCCATTATGATGCCCTCCAGAAGTTGCTGAACTCCAGTTCCCATCACCCATAGGAAAGTAATTGGGATGATGGGAGTTGTAGTGCAGTCTAATCTAACAACATCCAGAGGGCACCCTGTTGGCTGCCATTGGTGTATCACCCTCTACTGTGTGCTAGTTTCCCTGGATTGATGGTGAATTCTATAATTGTGATAATTGATGGAAAGATATATAGGGTGGAGGAATTTTTGCAATAGCGCCCCCCCTACCAATTACATAGAGATGGGAGAGGGGCCCTCTATTTGTGATGCATGCACTACAGTGGACTTAATAGAAATGAACGACATACTGCAAATATATGATTTAAATATCAGTATTGGGGGAAAGCCATTTAGTTAATGTAGGCTTGCCAGCAATGACAGTAGGAAAGTGAGATCCTTAAGAATATCACAATCTGAGAAGAGCTAATTTAGTGGTTTTCCTCTACTTTTCAAAGTGCACTCCCCATGGGCCGGGCCGATAAGAGCAATAGCCATTACAGTTCCATTGGTTGTCGTCTCTGCATTTGCAACACTTTTCACAGTGATGTGCCGCAAAAAGCAGCAAGGTTTGTATTTTTCCACATGATGAATTATAAGAGAGAAATGTCTATAGCAGTGCTAACATTGGAAGGAAACCTTGGAAGCCGCCCAGAGTGGCTGGGGAAACCCAGCCAGATGGGCGGGGTATAAATAATAAATTATTATTATTATTATTATTATTATTATTATTATTATTATTATAATATTTGTTTCTAAAGCTGGATTCTGTTGTTAGAAGTGCTCTGGATAGCTCTGTAGATGGAGCATGTGACTCTTAATTTCAGGGTTTGAGCCCCAAAGTGGGTGAAAGATTGCGGGTGGTTGAACTGCCCTGACACTTACAGATATAGGGCAGTATACAAATTTAATAAATAACATAAATAAAATAGATGACCTTCGTGGTCCCTTCCAACTCTGCAAGTCTGTGATTCTCCTTCAGCCCTTTTTTGCTGCTGGAATCTCCAGCCTAACTGTAACTGTAACCCTACATTGAGATTAACTTGCAAGTCTTGCTCAGCAAACTCTATAGCCTTATCTTTGGGTGGTGAGATTTCCATTCAGCAAGGGGTGACACTGCTGTGACCTTCACCCAGAGGTGTGCCTTATCTCCTGCAACTCCTCCAGTCAATCTTAGCAGTACTTGTAGTTTGGTATGTAGCTCCTGGGTCATGTGGTCCCTTTAGGGTTGCCATATCTTGAAGAGTAAAACAGGATAGCCCGAGCCACTGCCAGCCCAAGCCAGGGAAAGGGGCACAAGGGCACATGCCCGTGTGCCTCTCTCCCCAGCTTGGGCTAGCAGCAGCCGCAGCATGCTGAACAGCCTGTGCCCAAGCCAAATAAATAAGCAAATAAATAAATCCCCCCAAACTGAAACATTTCCTTTAAAATGTAAAAATCCCCCCTAGATGGGCATGTCGGCCCCCAAAAAGAGGACATGTCCGGGATTTCCCAGACATCTTCCTAGGTCCCTTGGCCTCAGCAATGGCTGAAGTTTGTCTAGGCTTAGTCTAGGGGTCAGCAAGGTTTACCTTGCCTGGGCTGGTTCATTCCAGTGGAGATCCCTTCGTGAGCGTGTGCGCCCATGATTTCCTGCGTCTGCGCAGACACGATTTCTGGTGTTTGTGTCTGCGCAGATGCGATTTCCAGCGCCGCGAAAGCAAGTCCCCATGCCACGCACTGCCGGTTTAGCACAGTGTGCAGAGACTCGCTTAGCGGGTGGCTCAGTTTGGGTACGGCTTGTGGGCTGGTTACCGACCCCTGGCTTTAGTCCTTGGGGTGGAGGCTGGGAAAAGCTAGGGTTGCACCATCACCAGAGCCTTTCTACAGGTTGTGCCCAGAGTTAAATTGCTTGCAATGCTAGAGTTAATTTTTTTGGACTTTGCTGCTTGGCACACTGGTGGTACTTTTCTAATGTTTAGGATGAGACTCTGCATTTGCGCTATATGGGCTACAGGGCTAGCCCATGGCATCTTGCTGCCTGAGGTGGAACAGCAAATGCCTTTTCAAAACACCCTGAAAGCTGCCTCACTGTGTCTAATGACAGGGCCAGCCCTGATCAGCTGTAGTATGTAGAGGATGACAGTAATCTGCACCTGCAGAGAGTTGTTTGTGCATGTCTCTTAGACCCAAATGTTTCCATTAGCAGCTCTCCAGTGGCACAGTCAGTGAGCATTCATTTAACAGGCAAGCAGTAAGAACTTCCAACTATGTCAAATGGCTGAAGAGGGTTTGGTTTTAAGGTGTCTGTAGTTGGAAGGGAAAATGGAATATTTTGGGAAATTAAGACAAATGTATCAACTGCTAAAGTTCAAAGCTGAAGCAGGGGGGGGGGGAATGGCAGCGCCTGTATGTATGTAGCTAGTAAAATCCTTTACTTTTTGTTTCAATTTAGAAAATATCTATTCCCATTTAGATGAGGAGAGTTCAGAATCTTCAACCTATTCTGCTGCCCTCCATGTGGAAAGGCAACGACCTCGGCCCAAAGTGTTCATCTGCTATTCCAATAAAGATTGTCAGAAGCACATTAATGTCATCCAGTGCTTTGCCTATTTCCTCCAGGACTTCTGTGGTTGTGAGGTAAACTCTTTGTAGTTGCTGCCAGTGCTTTGCATTTACTTGTGTGGGCCTGTGCAAGTTATGCAAATAGCATGAGCTTCATAATGGCTGATTCTAGAAGTTGCCTAGCCATGAAACGATTATTGGTGGACCATGCAAAATTTTTTAAAAAGGAAAAAAATACTGATGAAATGTTGGTTCCATAAAGCCCCAGAATCCTAATCCTATCTCTTAATACACTATTGGTTCAGGCAGTCTTCATTGTAAGGGTTGGACTAGGTCAGGGGTCGACAAACTAAGGCACACGGGCCGGATGCGGCCTGCTGGGCTTGTTAAATCTGGCCTGCGAACCTTGCAGACCCTGCCACCCGCTTGGTCAGTCAGTCCCCATGCTAAACCGGCGCAGCGCGGAGGCCTCGCTGTGCAGGGAATGACTTCTGTGACACGACGTGGCTTCTGATTGGCTGCAGGAAGCTCCTACAGCCAATCAGAAGCCGCTGATGCCTCTGGGCGGGTGGCGACGCTGGCGTGGCCTCCACGCCGCCGCCGCTTCCTCCCGCTAGGCTCTTCCCACTTGGCCACTTCCTTCTGCTCAGCTGCCTCAGCGGGAAGGAAGGGGTGGCACCCAGAAGTGGTCGAGTGGGAAGAGCCGAGCGGCTAGTGGCATGGGCTCTGCACCCTGCCAAGACAGAGGACGCCGCCGACGCTGCTGAAGACGAGGTGGTGGTGGCATGAGTGGTGGCGGCAGAGAGTCGTTTCGCAAGGGGGGGTGCTTTGGGGAGAGGGTGGGTCCGGCCCCCCACAAGGTCTGAGGGACAGTGGACTGGCCCCTTCCTGAAAAGGTTTGCTGACCCCTGGACTAGATGACCCTTAGGCTCTCTTCCAACCCCATAATTCTGTTTTTTTCTCTCTTACTCTTTTAATATTCGAAAATTTGTACTTTAAATAGCTAGATTTGGCAAAAAGTGAGGGGGTGGAATTAGCCTGCAGGAGTCATTTAGAGTTGTCTTTGTTCGGTGTTAATCCTGTCTCTGTGAGGTTTAAATTAATTGGTGTTTGTATGAATTTAAATGCTGATTTATTTTTTGCATAGAGATTTATACAGCATGTCTGACCTCTAGTGGTCAAATCTTTGTAAAAATCATTGCCTGTATTCTGCTTTAGTTTCTTTTCAGGAGGGCTAAATCATACCCAGAGTAGACCCACTGAATTCAATATCCATTTATTTAAGTAGACTACTCTGCGTATGACTTGGTTGGATGCAAACCATATTTATTTAGAAAGGGTACCAATTTTTTTTTAAGGGTACAAATTAATCCTCAAGTGCCCCATCCATCAGATCTTGTGTGCATGAAAATTTCACGTCAGTATTGGGGACAGTTCAACACGAATACCTTTGACATATGCACTTACTGTCATGGAGCTCCAAGTGTGTATTACAGTGGCTTCTGTAATTAAGCTGCTGCTTTTTGTGCAACTAAACATCTATATTCTTGGGTGGGGGTTATAATGTAGGATTGAGGCAAGTAAACCAACCTTGCATTTTACAGTTCATGCATAATAAACTGGATTGTGTGTGCAGTGTACATTCACACACATACACCCCCCTATTATCTTGAAATTATTAACTTTCAAAAAATAATAATCTCAAAGTATGAACTTCTTAGACAAACCTATAATGCAGTGATGGAGAACCTGTAGCCCTCCATATGCCGTTGGACTACAACTCCCATCAGCCCTATGCAGCATGTCCAACGGTCAGGGATGATGGAAGTTGTAGTCCAGCAGCATCTTGAGATCTACAAATTCTCCATCCCTACTTTTGAAGGTCTGTGCATAAAGCCACATACAAGACACTGAGCATAACTAATACATGTTTAGTAAATGTCAGTCCATTAGATGATGGTTTTAATAATATTTCTTCTAGGTTTCTTTAGACTTATGGGAAGATCTGAGGATTTGTAAAGAAGGTCAAAAAGAGTGGCTTCATCGAAAAATCAACGAGTCCCAGTATATTATCATTGTGTGTTCCAAAGGAATGAAATACTTTGTGGAGAAAAAGAACTGGAAGCATAAGGGACCCAAGGAGAAGGATGCGGCAAAGGGAGAACTGTTTCTGGTCGCTGTAGCTTTAATAGCAGAGAAGCTGCGTCATGCAAAACAGAACTCACATGACCTCTGCAAGTTCATTGCTGTCTACTTCGATTACTCCTGTGAGGGTGATGTTCCTGGTATTCTGGATTTAACTACAAAGTACAAACTCATGGATAACCTGCCTCAGCTTTACTCCCATTTACAGTCCAGAGATCTTAGCCTTCATGATTCAGAATTGTATCCTGTACACATCAGCAAAAGGAATTATTTCAGGAGCAAATCTGGGCGCTCTCTTTATGTCGCCATTTGCAACATGCACCAGTATATTGACCAGGAGCCAGACTGGTTTGAAAAGCAGTTTGTTCCCTTCCGCCCACCTCCTTTACATTACCAAGAGCCAGTGATGGAAAAATTCGACTCTGGATTGGTACTAAATGACTTAGTTGGTAAACAAGTGACTGATGGGGATTTCTTCCTGAAAGCAGATGCAAATATTGTTCTACCTTTGAATTCAGACTCTCATTGTGTGATGCAACATTTTAATCTTGGCGAGGACAGAGACTCTCAGGACATTCAGAATAGTAGCTGCATTCTTCAGCCATTGCTACATGTCGTAAAGGCTGCCAATCTCCCAGATATGCCCAGGGACTCTGGGATTTATGATTCTTCTGTTCCTTCATCTGAATTATCACTCCCTTTAATGGAAGGACTCATAGCAGACCAAATTGAAACCTGTTCTATTGCAGAGAGCGTCTCTTCTTCATCAGGACTGGGTAAGATGGAACAGAGAGTGAACTACACTCAAGTTACAGTCTAAACATTTATATAACTGGACATTTGAGTAGAATAAAGTTCCTTCTTCATCTGCTGTTCAACAATACAGCACCAAATTTTAGTTGTGAGCAATGAAGAAGTAGCAGGATAGTTCAGTTGGTTAGGGCATGGTGCTGACAACACCATGTATTGGGACAACAGCTGTAAGGGACAGCTGTATATTCCTGCATTGCAGGGGGTTGGACTAGATGATTATCAGGGTCCCTTCCAACTTGTATGATTCTATGTAGTAATTAGAAAAACATATCAGCAAGTAGCAGGAGGTTTTGGGATGCTAGGAACCAAAAATAAACTTTAAATTCTCCACTGAATTCTGTATTTACTTCAACTCCACCCCCACCCCACCCCCATATAAGTTGGGTGTGGGTGTTTCTTTCTTTTAGACTTCATTCTTGCTTAAAATTTACACTGGGTTAGGCTTTTCTGTGTTAAGCTTTTCACAGACTTTTGTGCAGCTCTGATTAATCTTATTATTGTTTTTTTCACCTATCAGAACTGCTCCCTGTGATTTTTTTACATAGAAGTAGCCTTTTCGCAGCTTTGGTCTACAGACAGCTTTGAATAAGTTTAGGTTTTGTATGCTACTTCTCCTTTGTCTTACTTTATTTATCCCTCCGAAGCTCAGACCCCACCACTCCATTTTTACATATTATCCTGAACTTCCTCCTTTCCTCTCCTGTGCAACCCCTTCTGCAGAGTCTCAGAAGGACCTTCCAGAACAGATTCTGAGGATGTGTGGGGAGAAAAGGGGGAAGTCTTGTTTTGTGAATGGAAATCCACATGTACAGAGCTGGATGCAGCATTCAAAATAGAAAAAGCCATTAGGATCCTTCCCACAGGGCAGTTGGTGGTAGATCACAGTGCAGGAGAAAGAAGGAACAGGGAAAGTCTGTTCCTCCCTTTCTTTTCCTGGAATTGTTTTGGGACTCAGAGCTTGTTTGCATGTTGTATTTTGAAATGAAGTTGAAACTAATTGGATAACTGGACATTTCCTACATTTTTCCTTGTAGGAGAAGAAGAACCTCCTTTGCTTGCTGCCACCAAATCCTTGGTGCCTGGAATATGTAAAGCAGAACTTCACTGCCATATCCGCACTGAAGAACTGCAGCCGATCGCACCTTTATAACACACTGCAAGATTGTTACGCATTGCCACTTTATCATCGACAGCCTCTGTGTATGCATTAATCTCTGCGTTATCACAGCCACTTGACTTACTTGAAGGAAAATACACTTTCCTAGCAGATTATCTGTTGCTCCCCAGGAGAGTTTATGGCCAGTATATTTTTATACATAGTTCTTTTTAAAAAAATAAAATAAAGTATTTTCTGCTTTGATACTGTAACAGCTAAGATTTTTTTTTATTAAAAAAAGTTCTTCCTAGAACCAGACTCATGATCAAGTTATATATACAGAAACTGAACATGTCTACTTTCTGAAATATGTATTTTGAAGTACAAAATGAGTTGCCAGTAATGTCTGGCACTCTGATAATTCAGTGCATTATCTTATATATGCTTCTGGCTCTTAAATACTAAAGTACTGTCTACAATAATAAGTCTGCAGCAGGAATTGGGGGATGGAAGGGCAGAATTCAGTGTTAAAATGCCAAAGACTAGTTCTATAAAGGATAGACTTTATTAAAAAAAAAAAAAGAAATCTCTCATTTTTTTCGTTCATGTTTATCTGCCCCATTGTGTTTTGGTAGAAAATTAAAACATGTCACATTTTTTGTGTCTTATGTTAACCTGTCGACATATTTATGTTAATCTTTATTTTGCCATTTCAGTTTGAGAATAGTTTACATTTAAACTCAATTATGTTTACTAGTTCTCTTCAGACTTTCATTTTAGGATTAATTATTTGTTGTTTAGGGAAAATTGAATCTCTGCAAATGTTCTTAGTTGAACCTGTAAACACTAAAATGCTATGTATAGTCCAGTAAAACCATTAGGCTTTGAGGAAGGGGGAAACTATAAGCAATTGTTATAGGCCGAACCTTTGCTTTATATGACTGACAAAGTGTCCTTAACATCATACTAAAAATCTCAGAAAATCTTAATGATAAGATAATAATGAAGTTATGACCTCCATTTTACACTGGTGCCATGGATTTGTTACATATATAATTGTTCATGCATATATACATTATTTTCCCCATTTGTTTGGTATTTTTAAAAGACGCAAATGTATTAAGCATATACATTTTTTAAAACAAGTTGTATGTGCAGCAGCAGCACAACAACACAAAATACAAGTGCATAACAGTCAAATGTATGGAAAAAATCTGGATGTACATGCAAATTAAATATTCAGAGTCTTTGGAATCATTAAGCAAAGTCCATTGAGAGACAGCTTTTGCAAATTGTATTAAATGTATTGATCACAATTGCCCTAAAACTGTTTTAGTCTAAGGTGGGTTAGTGTTTAATTGCAATAACTACATCAAATTTAGTAAGAAACTGTTGATGTTATTCTGAAATGAAAACTTTATTGAATGGTTTAAACATGAGAGGATATTTTGCTGAAGAATCACTGCCGTAAATAACGGTATTTCTGCCCAAGGTAACTATGCTAAATTTTTTTTAAAAAAACTTTGCACTGCCTGCCATGGTTGATATTCTATTGCCTGCTCCTTTCTATTTGTGTGCTGACCAGCTGGAAAGCTAGCCTGTGTATCCTGATTACTTGAAAGTTCATACAGCAGTTGCACCATAATACCGTACTTTTCGTTCCACAGCAATCAAGGCACTTCTGTCTGGCAGCTTTCCCTTAATTTCAAAGTAAAATGTGTTCAGTGATTTTTAAAAATTTAAAGACAAGTGGCAAACTTGGCAAACTAGGATAGCAAAACACATAATAAAAATTTTGAATGGAAGGTCCAACTAGATGATGCAGCAGCTAGAACATTGGGTGCCTGCGAACAGATACAAAGAGGGTGCTTTCTTCTCAACAATTAGTGTTGCCTCTGCACATGCTGTTCCTCTCAAAACACTCCCCCACCAGCCCCCGTTGGCTCCAAGATCAGAAGCAAACTCCACTTGAAGAGAGGGGAGTGTGAATTGGGGAAAGGGTTCAGAAAATGCCATATCTAGTTAAGTAGAGAACTCCCCCCCCCAATGTTGTTAGACCACAACAGCCCCAGCTAGGATGGCCAATTGTCAGGGATGAATGGAATTGCAGTTCATTAACAAGTTACTAACACTTGCCCTAAATTAATTATTTTAATTCTTCAGATTTTCAATTCAGTCACAGATTTGGCAGTTTTTCCTTACAGATGTCAAGTTTTCAGACACTTGAAGGATAAATATTTTCAATTTGATGTGGTTGGCTTGTGTATTTTCAGGTGGTAAAATTTGTTTATGTGCTTGTAAGCCTGAAAGAGCAAGAAGTAAATGCCTAAGCATTGCCTATAACTCCTTTGATCTTTCTCCAGACTTCATAGTTCTCTGCTGCTGTTTTGTTTGTTCTAAATCATTTTTTCCAGAACCAGCAGTGTGAAAGGGGTGATATCGCAGCCAGCTTGCCATTCCTCTTTCATACAGTTCTTTTATTCTGACACAAGTGATTGATAACAACCACCAATTATTTCCCCATAACCCAAAGTAGATAACTTCTTACCTAGGGACAAAGAACAGCCATAAAAATAGGTAGAGCATCTATATGGTGGGAAAGAAATTGCAACAGTGGTACTATAGATAACCAGCGAACTCTTCCTACAAGTTCTTATGTCAAGGCATGATAGTATACTTTATTTTTTTTTTATAGTACTTTTAGGGGGTGGGTGCTTAACTCTTTTGCAGCCAACTACTTTTCCATTGTAACCCCCACCCAGTCTTTTTCTCTCTCCCATGGAGCCTTGAGATCAGTGTTTGTGGAGGGAAGCATGTGGGGATTTAATGACTCTTTTCTCCAAGCTTCTCTTTTCCAAAATAAAATCTCTCCCAACAACTGCTTTTGTGCATTTGCATCTAGCATCAGTGGCCAGAAAAGTAGCCCTCCTGTTAGACAGTTGTTTTGAATAGAAATGGGTCTCATCAGTAGGTAAACCATCCCACTCCCTCATGCTATATGATAGGAAGTTGCCTGCCTTTTGCCATGGGAAGTAAACAAAAACTAAATAGCAACTTATTTTAGGTTTGCCATATTTCAAACAGTGAAAGAAAATGGAGTTTTTGGACTATTTTTAAGGGAAATTGCCAAAAACGACAATGCGGACATGGCTTGCCATACATCCGGATTTTCCCGGACAGTTTTGAGATTTCTGCCTGGACACTGCTTCCGGCTCCAGTATTCTGGATATGTCTGGGAAATTCTGGACGTATGACAACCCTAACTTATTTTCTCTGCTGATTGAAAACAGCAGTAGGACTGAAAAAAAGAAAAGGTTTGCAAGACTGTGGAGCAGACACATTTGAGATGAAGGCTAATTGCCTTTAATGTAATGTATGTGCATACTAGACATAACTTCAGTGCAAAATGGTGCATTCTCTATTCTGTTTTGGATGGTGGCTGTCAGGGCAGTTACCCACAGGTAGCAAAGAGCAAGCTCAGGGGCAAAGCAAATCAGTTCAAGGATTTATTTTCTTCCCATCCTCTTTCTCCATATGCTTTGGCTTTCCCATGGGAAGACGTTTCTCTGACTTTAGTGGGATGTACCGTATTTTTTGCTCTGTAAGACTCACTTTTTCCCTCCTAAAAAGTAAGGGGAAATGTGTGTGTGTCTTATGGAGCGAATGCAGGCTGCGCAGCTATCCCAGAAGCCAGAACAGCAAGAGGGATTGCTGCTTTCACTGCACAGCGATCCCTCTTGCTGTTCTGGCTTCTGAGATTCAGGATATTTTTTTTCTTGATTTCCTCCTCCAAAAACTAGGTGCGTCTTGTGGTCTGGTGTGTCTTATAGAGCAAAAAATACGGTACTTTTGCTTGTTGATTCTTCTAAGCAAGTCGTTCCACTCTGGCTAACTTCTCACTTACTAATTTGTTTTTTTAAAAAAACAACAAAAAAACCACAATCCCAGCAAGCAAAAGACAGTCCATGAAAAGCCCAAGATTATTTCCCCAAGAGATGAAGTTCTCCTACAAAATATTTATCCATGCCTTTAGTTGAGTTTTGCCCTTTTACTCGTAATTATTCATCTCAAAACTGAAATTGTACCCAAGGAAATTTGACTGGTGAACTTTTGACAAAGAACAAATTTACTTGGAATTAATCTTGTGCAAGGTTCATTAAAACTTGTGGCCCTTTGTAAATTCTAATTCCAATGAGACTTGCACTAGAGGAACTCGTGGTGGATTATGCCAAAAGTTGACTACTCGGCACAGAAAACAAAAGAGCTGGTCCACCCCACACACTAAACCATGACTTATCACAGTGTGTGTGAACTAGAATGAACCCATGTGAGCTTCAGGCTTGCACATACACACCCTTTTCCATTGTTGGAAGGGGGAGTTTTGAAGCTTTGACTCCTGCTTTTAGTTTGTCATGTTCTCAGGACCAACAGACTACAGTTAACATTGATCTATGGTTATTTTTAAAAAGGCTTTCAGAAGCAGCAGTTTGGAGTTGGCTTTTAAGTACAGTCGTACCGCAGCTCCCAAATGCCTTGGGAGTTGAATGTTTTGGCTCCAGAATGATTGAAACCCGGAAGTGAGTGTTCCGGTTTTCAAACATTCTTTTGGAAGCTGAACGTTCTTTTGGGAGCTTCCTGCAGCCAATCAGAAGCCACGCTTTGGTTTCCGAACATTTTGGTAGTCAAACAGACTTCCGAAACGGATTCTGTTCAACTTCCGAGATACGACTGTATAGCAGAGTTAATGTTAACTACAGTTTGTTGGTCCAGACAATATAACAAACTATAGCTAACTAAAAGCAGAAAGAGCACTTCCAAACTTCTCATGGCTCTCTGAGACAAGAACATAGGAGTTAGAAGTGCACAAGTCCAAGGCTAGCTCATGCGTATTCCAGGTTGTGCAGATGTGACCATTGGGTATGAGTCAGGCACTTTTAAGTTCAAGAGGAGCATGTTAAACATGTGCTTTAATGTTTACACTGAAATCAGTGAGAACTTAAATGTGTTTAACTTTTGTTTGGATTGTGCTACTTGTGTATTCAGGACTTAAATATATAATAGAGAATCTTACATAATTCTGTTATCCTACTCCAACCCAGTAAGGTTTGCAACAAAAACTCTTGTATGCCAAAAATGTTAATGTACATTTTAGGGGATTGGTTACTATTTTTTGTTGTGTTGTTGCTACAGACTGAAGTTTGTCAAATGGTAACATAATCCCTTATGTGTTCTGGGTTTTGTTTTTAGATTACACAAATGCAGAGTTACAATAATTGTTATGTTTATAATTCTTATTTTGTGTGTAAATTGAAAACTGCAAGATGTATCTACATGTGTCAACACTTCAGTAAATGTAGCAGTTTTCATGTTTATGTACATGAATATAAGCTCTTGATGGTAGCTGATATTTGGATAAATTTAGTTTTTATGTTGCCATATTTTAGAGATTAACACCAGAATAAAATGTCATAAAGTTCATCCTGTGTTTCTTGCATTTTTATATTAGATTTATATGCATGTGTATTTTTAACTATTTGATCTTTTTTTAGCATTACAACAGTGTTTATGTTGCATACTGTTGTATCTCCTTGATATGACATAAATACATTCCATTTATAAACATTATTTCCTTGGCACTTGTGCAAATGAAACTTGTGCAAGTAAAATGGGAGAAAATGTTGAAGAGCTTAATAAATGTTCTCCGTATTTATGCTAATAATTACTAAGGCAAGCCCAATTCAAGTTTTGTTCCAAGTGGGTGACAAAACGTACTGCAGCAAACATGGTGATAAATCATTTTTCATAATTTTTTTTATTTTCTTACATTTCTGTCCAACCTTTCTCCCACTATGGAATCCAAGGTGGTATACATGTGGTTTGCAGGCAGTCATCCTTCCAGGAACTGACCAGAACCAGATCTGCTTAGCTTCAGCAAGGTAGTGACTTCATGAGCTTTCAGACTGTATACCCTGGGACCTTGGCAAAACTTCACTTAGTAGACTATTTATGACTTGTAATATGTCTGCTTACTGGCACACTGCAGACATGTGTGTTTCATGCACAATTAAAGGTGCTGGGTTTTGACATGCAAAGCCCATACACCAAGCCAAAACTCAACAACCAGTGGCAGATCTGGTCTCGGCAACCTGGTTGCTGCTGAACAGAGAGGCAAAACAAATAGCAAGTTGTTCGTGGAGAATCCTGTCTGATGGTTTGCCTGCACCTCAGCTGAGAAAAATCAACTAGAAGGAGGGGGTGACAAGTAACAACTAATAGGGGGAACTGTAAGAAAGGTCAGACCAGATCTTACTTCAGCCACGAACTCCTTTTGCAGGAGGCATTTGAAACTGAGATTGCCAGGGGAGGGTTGATTTAAACGGCAGTGGGGGTTGCATTTGGCAAGGGTTCTGGGATGAAGCAGCAGGAAGTGGGGAGAACTGCATGTGTGCTGGCTGGGAGGCTTAGGCTTCTGGACAAATTAATGGAGGAAAAGCCCATCATGGAGGTAAAGCTTATCAGCAGCTACTAGCCACAATGGTCTTGTTCTGCCTCTGCGACTGGAAGCAGTAATGCTTTTGAATACCAGTTGCTGGACTTTCCACTCGTGCTCATCTCCTTGTGGGCTTCCCATAGGTATCTGGTTGGCCACTGTGAGAACAGGGTGATGCAACAGGCTTCTCTTACGTTATTATATTTGAAAGTATCTAATAGGCTACACAACAAAATCTGTCAACTCACTCATGAAAATGTGCTATTGTATGTGATCGATCTCTCTCCCCCTTTCGTCCTGATTCAACTGGGTGGTTGTTGCTAACGGTCAGCATCGGGGATAGCCAACATGGTGACCTCCAGATATTATTGAACTACAGCTCCCTTCATTCCCAGCCAGCATGATCACTCATAAAGGATCATGGGAGTTGCAGTCAAACAACACATTGGTTGCCCCTGGTGTACAGAATGACTTGCTGCAGTATGACTTTAACCTGGATAAAACTCTTATTTATTTGATTCACCATAGATCGTTTTTAAGGATCTACCTTTTTGTAAAGCAAATAATTCGATGTCAGGGAGAAAGGAGAGAGGCATGCAAAGTACCTGTTAGAAAGAGTTTAGGCTGTCTCCTGGGCAATGTGAATAACAAGCTGCTTCACATACCTTTCTTTGTGCCAAAAGCTCCATTTTCCAGATGTCCAAAATCCGAGGTTTTTTTTACTATCCAACAGTGAATCAGAATGAAGTTAATGTAAAGTCTACTGCATCCCGAAAAGTTTGAGACAACTATTATGATGGCACGTCAGTCAAAACATGAATGAACTAAACTATTAGGGGTTTGCTTTACTCTTATTATTAACAATGAGGTTTGGTCTATCGACTTAGGGGCTGGAATGGTGGCTGGCTGTTTATTTCTTTGTTTTCATATACCATATTTTTTGACCCATAGGGCGCACTGGCCCATAAGGCGCACCTAGTTGTTTTTTTTGGGGGGGGGATAAAGAAAAAAAAATCCCCCCCCAGGCGTGGGGCTGGGGCGGCGGGAACTCCCGCGGGCTCCCAAGGCTTGCGGATAGCTTCCTGAAGCCTGGAGAGCAAGAAGCCAGTGCGTCGGTGCGCACCGACCCCTCTCGCTCTCCAGGCTTCAGCGAAAGCCT